TCTTCAAAAGAGGTGATGACAAAAGACAGGAGTCCATAAATACACATTCGTGCAGTGCTCGCTGTACACTAGAAAGAGAGAGACAGTGGGCAGCATGTTTAAGTCCATGTCACCATCTGAGAAAAGTTTTTTTTTTTAGCTAAGCAATTTGTTATATACAATACACAAGTTGTTGTTCTACAGCTTCCTAGCATTTAAATGTAAATTAATCTAAATTAAAATGGTAAATAAAACTAAACACATAATCAAGGTATACTGAAACCAAATTTAATAACAATAACTATTGTTCTTTTTGAAGTTCTTGAAACTTATGGAAAATAATCAGGGTTAATTTAATCATTATTTAATATCATCATTTAATATCAACACCCCAAGTTTCTGTTAATAAAAGTTTGAAAATGAGCAGTTTTGTCATAATTATAACAGAATTACCAGAAATATCTCAGCCTATATGGGGCTTTCAGTATTGTGCTGGACAACACAGGACCTTCAAGTCAAAAGTTGAGAACCACTGGTCTAATGTTATTCAAGGGTTCCTGCAACAGTGATAGAAAGCTGTCCTTACATTATTTCCAGCATTGCCGAGCGCCTGCAGCGTGTTGGTGAGGTACTGGAAGACTCCCAGCTGAAGCGTAGTGTGTCCTAGACGTCTGATCACAGAGCTGACTTCCTCTGGATGCAGTGTGTGTTGCAGCAGAACCCACGCCAACAGAACCGGCCCGTGGTGAGAGATGTCACCAAAAGTCAACAGCATCTGATCCACCTCCTGCACACACACATAACAGCCAGTAATCACTATTTTTTAAAGCAAGTCTCTAGATTTTAGGTAAAACAAGGTTGCGGATTCAATAAGATTTCAGAGCTACAACTATCCATTTTTAAAAGGTAATTTCTTAATATACACAACCATTGAAAAGTTTGGGGTCAGTACGATTATTTAAATACTTTTATTCAGCAAGGACATTAAATTGTTCAAACAGATATAGTAAAGGCATTTAAAATGTTACAAAATAGTTCTATTTCAAATAAATGCTGTTCTTTTGAACTTTGTTCATCAAAGAATCCTGAAAAACAATGTATCAACAACTGTTTTCAAAATTGATAATGATAAGAAATGCTTCAGCATAAACATTTCAGCATATTAGAATGATTTCTGAAGGATCATGTGACATGACTGACTTGGAGTAATGGCTGTTTTTACTGTATTTTTTATTAGGCTAAATAAATGCAGCCTTGGTGAGCATAAGAGAGTTTTCAGAAGCATTAAAACATTTTGTTTTTGTTTTTTAAATCTTTAAAAAGAAAATGGACCTCAAACTTTTGAACAAAAACCAACCACAATTAGTTGCTGTATCTGAACGGTCCCTGGTCAGGATTACCTTGCAAACATCCTGTTGGTCATAAAACTGATGCTGTTCGGTTCGGTCCTCCAGAGCACATTTATGCAGGAAGTCGATATCCATCCCCTCCACAAGAATCAAAGAACTAAAATACCTATTGGGAGGATGGCACAGTCAGTCAATATATTATAAAACTCTGTTTCCGAGTGTATGAGAGGAAAAGGAGCAGGTGACTGACCCAATGCGTTCAACCAGTGCATCCATGCTCTTGTCCACAAGGTGTCGATTGGTCTGCCGCAGTCCAAAGCCTTGCTCCTTAAACAGCCGTGTGAATGTGGAAAGGTCATTGGGCGGCATCTCGAAGTATGCATAATACAGGAACAAGATCTCCAGCAGAAGGGCCTGCTCCTTTAGACACTGCACAAACCAGCGGGACACCTGCCTCTCCGTCTACACAGAGATGAGATGAATAGATCCTGAGTCAAATTCTATATGAGTAATTAATTATGATGCTGCTCTAAACATAATCAGAGTACCAATCTTCTTCTCACCATCAGGTTTCCATGCGTCTCCCATGTTGGAGCTTCTAATTTGGACAGCAACTCAAACTGCTTCCTGTAATTGGACACCAGATCTTTCTCCAGTTGACTAACACAGTTGGAGTACTCTGCCTAAAGTGAGAAAGAGGAAGAATTAAATTCATCTGGTTTTCTGACTGTCTGATACAACAGCTTATCTCTGCTACTATTATTTACCCTGTATGGATGTCTCTCATCCTGGAAGTATGTGAGGAGGTGGAGAACGCAGCGCAGAACACACAGTCTCTCTTCATAGTAGTAATCTGCTATCTGTGCAACACAATTACAACATCGGCATCACATTTCTATAGTCATTTTGTCTCAACAAGTACTCGTATACAAAGTGATTTGACAGACAAAACTGAAAAGACATAAGGAGGTCTACCTTCAGAAGCAGAGCTTGACTCTGTCTCTCATCTTGCAGCACCGCCTAATGGGAACAAAAGAGGATTAACCATTTATTCAAAAGCTCTCACCATGTTTGTGTGAACACATCAGATGTACATGCATGTGCCATTTGAGGCCGGGCTCACCTTGAGTGTGTTTCGCGTGCCCCTGTAGTCCTCCTGAAGGTAACATTGAAGAATCTGCACGCTCTGCTGTTCATCCAAACCCTTACATGATAAACACACATTTATCCATTCCTGAAGTCTCAATCCAGACAGATTTACCATGTCATTATGTATGAATCAAATAATGAGAATGCAATCCATTTCAAAACCTATTAAGACATCATCCTATAAAGCATTTTGGGGTTTCAGAAGCATAAAAACATGCATATTATAACCAATAAATCTGCTAACTCAGAACTTTTGCATTTAATGTTGTGGTCTAAGAAGGCAGCTCACCACTAGCATTTAAAACAAAGCCAATGTTCCCAGACACTTACCAGGAGTTTGCTGATCCTGAGCCCAAAGTCTTTGAGAGCTTGTGCTGTGTTTTTATCTGCTTTCAGCTTGTCTGCGGCCGACGTGCTGCACATAACATTTCATGACTTCATAACAAAAGTAAGAGGACAAATTTCATGAGGCATGCTTACTTGCACAAATTTTCATCTAAACAAATGATTCCTGAAAGGTCTGTTTATATGAACCCTAAACTTTGCAATCTGATTCACATATTTGTTTACATGTTCATAATATGAATTTCGCAACAAATCTTCAGCACATATGCAGTGCCTAGTCGCCACGTTCAGAAACCGAGAACAGAGCGACCAGGAGTATAATTGTCATTTTGGTCTTAATGACATATCCAAAACCTTTCTAATATAATCTTATGTCTAATAATAACACATGTGAGAAAGATATTTTTTTATTTTCATTGAAATAAGTTAGATTCAAGAGTATATAGGCTTTTTTCCCCCTGTTGATTTGATTATTTCAGGCCTACACCACCCCTTTCAATACGATTGACATTTCATTCGGATTGAGATCAATCAGATCAATTTACACAAAGGCTTTACAGTCCAATTGATTACAAACGGATTAGTTGATTGTGTGTAAATGTAGCTATGGATACTTTCAAGAAGTAGAACATCAAGTATATACCATCAGATAGTATCTTCCTAGCTGGATGAAGCCAATCTCATATTTGTTAAAGTTATTTATTTCTAGGATTTTGTGTTACCTGGGTGGTTTGTAGAAGGACAGACCCTGTAGAAGTCTCTCCCAGTTCCGATTCAATTCAGCTTCAATTTGGCCCTGTCAGATCATACAAATAAATTCACATTTCACAAATGATGGAGAGACAGGAACTCTATAAGATACATTATACAAGTATATCTCGTCAGACCAGTACCTTCTTAGAATAAAACAGCATTATTAATATCGTTTCCTCACAGAATTATCTATAATTAACTATCATTGAACATGCACAGCTTTTTAATAAAAATCTGTGTAATTAGTGTAATTAAATGACAGAACAACATCAGAAATAATTGGTTTGTGTACCAACCGGTTCTCGGAGTGCAGATCTTCCCAGCAAGATAGTCCATAACTCTCGGCTGCTCCTAAATAAGTTTTTAAATGTGCCATTGTTAATAAACTTAATGGAGAGCATTTTTTTTCTTCTCCTTATGCTTTGCAATATGACAGAGATTATTCCAGAACTGATAATATAACGTTTTACCATTGTGTCATTATGATGTTTATTGGGTCCATTGCATACAGTATATAGATATATGGGTAGTTCACACAAAAATAAATTACATAAAAATAACATCAAAACATTTGTTTAAAATTTACATATTCATTACAAGTCGTGTAACTGGTCACAATTTTTTAAGAACTGAAAATTTGTTTTATCAGAATTATAACTTGTCACAACTCGAGACAGCTCTTAAAATTGTATGTCAATTTTCCATTTTATCCTATATAAAATATATATACACACCACATATAACGTAAGTTATACATCCTACATGTGTATAGATAGATTAGACTGTAATAGATAAGATCGTACACAACATACACGATGAAACTCATTCATCACTTCAAACTACTGCAATGTGTTCTAACCGACTAAGTCAAAACAAATGGAAATTTTTCACAAATAATCAATATGAATATCTTTATTTTATTTATTATTAGAGAAGTTCCGGGTTTAATAAAATCGGTTATAAACTGTTCAAGTTAACATTTGAATTTCAGTAGCGCGGGTCTGCCAGCCAACGCACGCGACCGACTCGTGTTGCCGTTAAATGTCAAATAAACAGCTCGTAGAAGTCCTATTTCCCACGCATATTATGGCTGCATACGAGATATACAATATCGACACATTCTCCATCTACAAATTTCGCTCTAGCTCTTTGAGAACAACACTAGTAAGTTTCTCTTTCTTCCATTTTACCTGACACACATCTCCGAGTCCGCCATCTTCACCCGAATCACGTGACACACTAACGCGCACTCCCCTATCACATGACTTGATTAAATCCTAAAAATACATATATATTCATAAAATACTTATGTTAACATATATCCATTTAAATTAAAGATAGTAAAAAATGTTATCTGCTTAAAACACTTGACTAAGATTTTTTTGTTTTGACATTGGTCACATGATTCTCCTGACACCACGTGACCCAGTTGATGGCCGCTCCCACCGTCAGTCAGTGAGCAGCTGATCTTACAACGCACGAGTCACAGTAAAACATAAGGAATACAATCTTTTGTTCAAGAGGCAAGCGTTCAATCACAGAGAAATAGGTAGGTTGACGCGTCGTTTGGTGTAAAAGGATGTTTCTGCGTTTATTTACCATGCAGTGTGTTTAATGAACAGCTGGTGTTGCAGTGAATGAGCTGTCATTTCTGCCGTAGAGACTAACAGCACTCTCTCTAACTGTAAATAAACACTGTAAAACCGTTTGAAATAACAGCATTGCTGTTGGATTAGTATTCGGATTTAATGTTAAGACTGACAATTCCATCAAATGTGTATAACATATTCAATTGCACAATATGAATGCATTAATAAGCTAATGTTCTGCTGATATATGATTCAGGCGCATGTAATGCATTTTATAAGCACCCAGGCAGATTGCATTGAACAAAGATGTGGTAAAATGTGTAATTTATAATATATTATATTCTTGGTACTTATAAAATACATATTATTTACAAATTTCTATAATTATTTTTTTATTACATTATTTGTAATATTTATTCCTGGATACTCATAACACATCTCATTTATATTATTGTTTTTCATACATTGTTTTTTCTCTCCAAACATTTTAAACACTAATATTTTAAATTAAAGTACAGTGAATGATACACTATTATCCATATATTATTAATCACTGTAATGCCAGAGCACCCAGCCATTAAAACCAGATCGTTTTACTTTTGCTGACAAAGTGATGCTGTCTTTTCATAATTTACCATGTTTAGAAATAGCTGCTGTTGGGCGTTCAACAGTGCTAAAGTTCACAGTGTCTAGAGTTCAAATGCCATTGAGAAATTTGCCACCCTCCTTCCGTAGTGAGAGAATATAAACTCCAGCATTTTTTGGCGTCATGGGGATCATTGATTATGTCCATTATATTTAATTTTTTGCCCTCTTTCAGACTCTATTTATTGATTTAAAAGTGTGTTTTGTTTTGTATGCAATGGGGGAGTGAAATTTCAGAAATTACAGTATAAAAAGTGCTAAATAAAACGGTTTGTTCAGTTCAGTGCTGTTGTTATAATTGTCAAAAACAGAAATAAAACAATAAATAAATATCGGTTCTATATATCGGTTATCGGGCACATAAACATGCAAATAATTGGTATCGGTTATAAAAAATCAATATCGGTTGATCTCTATTGTGCCCAAAAAAATTGTCTAGGTAGGTTGCCATCATTGAACATCTCTCATCACATTGAGTAAAATAATTTATTTATTTCAGATTTTTTACCATTATATTGAGTAATGACTTTAGAAAAAATACCATAGTTCAGTGAAAGTATCAGATGTTAATACCATAGTACTTTGACATATATTATACTAAACGATTACCATTTTCCATACTCCAAATTAAAAAATACTATGACATTACTATGATATATATGTGAAAATCATGATAGTGCATGTTTAAAAATATATTCATATTAATCGGGTACCATGTCCAAAAAAGTACCTTTTTGTGTGTGTGTGTGTGTGGGGAGAAAAATGCTACAAGTGAGAGAAATGTTTTATTAAATTTGATTAATTTTAGTTTATTATGTGGGTTTTTTGTGCTTAAAGTGAGAGAAAACATCATATTATTAAATATTTGTCAAGTTTTATGGTTTTTCTCTAATGATATTTTGATGTTTTTTTATATTTTTTTTACCCAGGTCTAATTTGGCGTGTGCAGGAGCCCGAGAAGTGGACGATGTTTGTGTGTGCACCTGGAAGTTTCTGACAGACTACCACATTTGAAGTCCCTCATTCTTGTAAACCTTTGTCACACACCCGCGATCATGCAGATGGATCCCGTGTTGGTTGAATCCGCTGTGGTGTTTGCTATGGTGATTTCCGTTCACATGGCCGTGTGGAACCAGCTGTCCTGGTGTTGCATCGCTCTGGCGGTCCAGGCTTTCTATGTTCAGCACAAATGGGATCGCCTGCTTCGGACCGGCGCCGCCGTGTTCCAGTTTCGCCCCTCGGCCAACAGCGGCGTCTTACCGGCCAGCATGGTGATGCCTCTGCTGGGTCTCGCTTTGAGGGGACGCTGCGTCATCGTGGGAAACGTTTACATGGAGCGCTTCGCCATGGTCATAACAGTGATAGGCATGATGTTGGCTCTGTTCCTGTCTCTCATTGCGCTGGGAATCACACGCCCGGTGCCCACAAACACCTGCGTCATAGCCGGCATCGCCAGCAGCGCCATTCTGTACACCGTGAAGCAAACGCTGACAGTGTCCGAGGTGATTGAAGTCTTGGAGGTGTTGCTGATTTTTGTGTACGTGAGCTTGATCCTGTTGTACCTGCTCCCACGCTGCTTCACCCCCGGCGAGGCCCTCCTCATCCTCGGCGGGATTAGTTTCATTATCAACCAGCTCATTAAGCGCTCTCTGGTCTCGTCCGGGAACGCGAACTCCGACCCGCTTCCGTATTTCCTCCCGGTCGCCGTGTTAGGTTTGGTGCTATTGGGAATCTTCTTCGCGGTGCTCTTCGTATTCATGGAATCGGAAACCTGGTCGGCGTCGCTCTTCTTCCACACCATGACTGTGGTTTTGGGCTTGGGCTTGTTGGTTCCTTGGCTCTCCCTGCTCACGCAGCATCACCCCATCACCTGGCTGATGCATTTCATCACTGAGAGCAGGACCCGCCTTTGGCTCATTGGATTCTGGGCTTCACTGTTGCTTCTAGCTATTGCCGTTGTGATGCATCAAAACAGCCACCGCTCGGGCGGCAGTAAGAAGCACCAGGCGTCCACGACCGTGCGGAAGTATTTCCACCTGCTCACCGTGTTAACCTTCGCACCCGGACTCGCACTAGACCGCCCTCTGCTCCACTTGTCCGCGGTCGCGTGCCTCTCAGCGCTTTTGTTCCTGGAATTCGTCCGCTATTTCCGCATCCGACCTTTCGGGCCTCTGCTGAGATGCCTTCTCACTTTATTCCTGGACGAGAGAGACTCAGGACCGCTCATTCTCACTCACATCTACCTTCTCCTCGGCGTCGCCCTTCCCATCTGGCTGTCCCCCGGGACCTGCACCCCTAAAGGAGGCCTCGGGGGCGCCGGCGGCCTGGTGCCCTACGCCGGCGTGCTGGCCGTGGGAGTCGGCGACACCGTGGCGTCCGTCTTCGGCAGCTCGGTCGGCGAGATCCGCTGGCCCGGCACTAAGAAGACCTTCGAGGGCACGGCGACCTCAGTGTTCGCTCAGATCATCGCAGTGGTGGTTTTCCTCATCGCCGACAGCAGTATAAACCTGAACGCCAGCTACTCGTGGGTGGTGGGCTCGATCACCATGGTGGCCATGTTGGAGGCGTACACGTCACAGATAGACAACCTGCTGCTTCCTCTGTACCTATACATCCTTCTGCTGCTATGAGATTATGCCAACGCACAGATATTAAAGGGATAGTTCACTCAAAAATGAAAGTTATGTTGTTCTAAACCTGTCTTCTGAACACAAAAGAAGATATTTGGTAGAATGATGGTTACCGGACAGTTGATTGACCCCGTCGACTTCCATAGTAATTTGTTTCCTTTAATGGAAGTCAATGGTTACCATCAACTAACTAGTTACCGGCATTCTTCAAAATCAGAAGAAAGAAACTCATACAGGTTTAGAACAACATGAGAGTGAGTAAATGGGTGAACTATCCCTTTAATTCATATGGTACGCTACAGCCCTAGTATTGTCTGACATGGAATTATTCCAGTTTTGAAAGCAAAAATAAAACATCATTAGAGTGTTTATGACCCTGGTACAGTGAGAAAAAACACTGAAATGTATTCAAGAATAAAACTAAATAGAAAACTTGATACTAAAACAAAGTGGCACAAAAATAAAATGTGAATTGAAGGTTAAATGTATATTTTTGTACCACTAGTTGCACCAAATGGAACTGCACTTTTTTTTATATCTTTTTTCATTTTGTTTTGTTTTTATTAATATTTTTAATATTTATTTTATAAATATTTTTTATTTCAGTCTTAGTTTTGTTATTGTAGTACATTAGGATAAACTAAATGAAGATTTGGCAACTCTCCGAAATAAAAAGACGTTTTTTATACTTTATATTCATTTCAAGTAACAAAACTAGTTAACTATTTTAACCATGGTTTGAAAACACATTTAGGTGCTTCTAGTTGTGCAGAAATAACTGTAATAATTGTGTGTTTAATTTTTTTTAATGTTTACATGCGATCATTTTGTTGTTTTGAAGGTTTATTGTTTGCGTTCATGGGAAGCTCTGATGTCTTGAGTTGCTGTTAATATTTCATTCTCTCAAATCCTGCGTCTGCCACTCAAGTATAAATGACAGGGATTGAGTTGCACATTATTAAAGAAAGAAATGGAAAATGTAACGCCCTTTAACAATGTCTGCACTCAAACAACACTGAAAGAAGGGCACAATTTCTACATTTTGGTTATTTTATTTAGGTGAATCTCATGAAAACTATATTTTTTTTATTTTCTATAAAGCAGCGTTCCAACACGTATCATAAAAAGTAAATGTAATTTAATTGAAAATTAAAAAACAAAAAAAAATTTTACATGAAATATGCCTATTTTTAGAACCATTTTCGTGACATTACTTGACGATTACAAACATTAAATTCTCATTACTATTATCTGTTTGTATAATTTTTGTATAACAAATACTGCCATGTTGTAAACATACTAGACCATTTCAATAATATTGAATAAAATATATAATAATATATTTAAATACTTTTTAGTAATTAGAATTAGTTTTTATTTACATGAGGCAGTTGTGTAAATGTACTTATGCCATTATATTATGTCAAATATATATACTGTCTGTATATATATATATATATATATTAGGGCTGTCAAATCGATGAATCGCATCCAACACAAAAGTTTGTGTTTATATAATATATGTGTGTGTATGTACATATGTGTGTATACATATATATATATATATATTTACAGTGTATATATACAGTATATATATACACCTACACATATAATATATATACAAACATATTAACACAAACATTTATGTTTGATGCAATTAATCGATTTGACAGTGCTAATATATATATATATATATATATATACAAACACAAATATATATGGTTCTTAAAATAGGCTTCATTTAATTTCAGCCAAATATAATTTTCTTTGTTTGGATATAGATTTTTTTTTTTTTTTTTTTGAAATGGCACATTTTCGACGTTTCATCAGATTCACCTGTTTATCAAAATGTAATTTATCCTTTATTACAGATCATATATGCATCACTTGAGCCATTGAAGAACACCCTTGTTTTTCTATTATTGTATAAACCTGAACAAAAATACTCTAATATTATTTTGATGCTATGAATAGGAAACCTGCCTTTATGTCCAATGCAATACGAAGGACTGGTAGCACAGCTTTATCGCCTTAAAAAGTGTTTTGTATTGTCAATGGTTCAGTGCTATCAGTGGTCTGTCTGCATGCAGGAGGCAGTAGATATTAATGTACAGATCACTGTCCTGTAAAAGCATGTGTGCGATTCAGCTGTTGTGTCTTTACTCTGATAAAGATTGCATAATTCAAGCATTTTGTAAATTATATATGTTTAGACCTTAATTTATTCATGATATTTGACTGAGGCCTTTTACGTAGTGATTGGCGTTTAGTGTCGAGCGTGTTACGTTGACAGTTGTCACGGGAACTGTGGTTGAAGCATCAGTCACCTGTTCAGTTTGCAGTGCATTCTGGGATATTTAACACGGACGCTCGGCATCTGTGAACATTTGCATGACATTCAAGTGTAAACTTGTTTTTAAACTACTTGGAAATTGTAATAAAATGTGTTACTTTATGGTCATACTACTTTTTGACATTGGGATTTGACAAAGATTGTTGGATTTATATTTTGTAAATTATCGTTTTAAAGGTTTGAGTATATTTACAGAAGATACTGTATATTTACAGAAGAAAATTGTTTGGTTCAATTACTTACTTTGCATCGAAAGATCTGGTTATATATGTTTTACAACAAAAGTGACCCAGCATGACACAGTAACTTTTTTAAAACCATACTTTTGTTGGAATTGTTGAACTTTTAGTCTAATATTTATTGAAGTTTGTTTTAAATTGTTTGCTGGAAGAAAATCTTTTTTATCACCAATGACTATAAATATGATTTTTCAGATTTTCCTGTCATGAGAACTGCAGTTTGGTCATGTTATGTTCTTGGACTGAAAATCCAGATATGATTAAACATTCATACCTTTTCTATATTGTATTGATTTTGTTGGGTAGACAGATAATGCTGCGTTGAAGGAAATAAACTTTATTTCTAATAAAGTTATATGTTTCTCATTTACTCAAATAACAAGCTTTGAAGTCAGATCACAAATACTAACAAAAACTAGCCTTTTATTAACACTGTCGTGGTGGCTGTAGGTAAAATATACAGAATGATTCAAAATGATTCATATTTTATGGTAAGAAAGACATTTTTTGGTCCATTTACAAAATTTCATATTTAAAGGGATTATTATTATCCTTGCGTTAAAAAAGCTCCTGATATCTGAGACGTCATCAAGTGTCATCAGGCCTGTTGTGTGTAGAGGGAAGGGAAGGGCAGCTCTTCTGTCGGCTGCAGCCTGAGAGAGAACAACACAAAAGCCCTGAGAACTAGAACTCGTCTCTCTACAGCCTGCGTTACCCAGCATGCACTGCTCTTACCAGTTCTCAGGACTCCAAACGGTGTTTTGAGACTCCATGATGTGGAAAGTGTAAACATGGCGTGAGACGTCAGATGTGTTCGCAGCGCTGCGGTGGACCACTTCCCCGTGAATCAGAACTGCTCCACCTACAGTACCAAAATATTTTTAATATAGTACTTTAATACACTACTGTTCAAAAGTTGGATTTTTAATGTAATACCTCTATTCAGCAGGGACACATTAAATTGATCAGAAGTCACAGTCAAGACATTTATAAGTTTACATAAGATTTCTATTTTGAATAAATGCTGTTCTTTTGAACTTTCTATTCATTAAAGAGTCCTGAATAAAATGTATCACGGTTTCCACAAAAATATGAAGCAGCACAACTGTTTGCAACATTGATAATAATCAGAAATCATCATATTAGAATGATTTCTGAAGGATCATGTGACACTGAAGACTGGAGTAATGATGCTGAAAATTCACCTTTGAACACAGGAATAAATTACACTTTAACATACACAAAAATAGAAAACACTTATTATGTTGGCTTGACAAACCAACATACTGAACTTGTTGTATTTCTGAGACTAAATTTAAGGAGTATCTCCTCCAAGGGCTTTCAAGCTACAACTCGGGTCAGACCTCTTTTCTAACTGATCCGACTTACGATTTTCACTACACGGACGATCAAAACTTCAAAAATCCCCAAGAAGACTTTTGTAAAATAAGACTTTTAAGCTATCACTAGCAAAGCTTAATGACTATCCTAGGACGACATGTTAAAACATGCCAGCAACATGCTAATTAATTCTAACAATGTGTTAAACATGTTAACCGTGTGCTAAATCATGCTAGCAAAATGTTAAAACATGCTAATTCATGTTAGCAATGTGTTAAACATGCTAGCAATGTGTTAAATCATGCTACCAATATGTTAAAACGTGCTAGCAATGTGTTAAATCATGCTAGCAGCATGCTAATTAATGCTAGCAATGTGTTAAAACATGCAAGAAAAATGTGCTAAATCATGCTATCAATGTGCTCAATTATGTTAAGAACATGCAAAACATGTTAATGTGTTAATCATGTTAGAAATGTGCTACCATTGTGGTAATTCATGCTAGCAAAGTGTTAAAACATGTCAGCAACATGCTACCAACATGCTAATTCCTAATAGCTTTGTGGTAAATCATGTTAACATGCTAGCAATGTGCTAAATAATGCTAGCAACATGTTAAAACATGCTAGCAATGTGCTGAATCATGCTAACAACATGCAAAACACATGCTAACGATGTGTTAAAACATGCTAGTAAAATGCTAATTCATGCTAACAATGTATTAAAATCTGTTACAATTACAAACAGCTCAACAAAATGTAATGATAGACATGCTGCTAACAGCATGATAAAACATGCTAGCATATACAAATTTCAAACTTTCAGACAAGGCTTTGTCAAGTTTGACACAGTTTTCTTTCTAGTTATAAAGTGTAATATTTCACAATATTACTGTTTTTACAGAATTTTAGATCAAATAAATGAAGCCTTGGTGAGCAGAAGAGACTTATTTAAAAAATAAAAATAAAAAATAAAAAACATCAAACTTTTGAACAGTAGTGTATATACTGTATATGTTTACTGTATGGTGTGGTCATTTATTTCCAATGGAATTAAGAGTTTCAATAACTCACCTTTTTTAACAGGAGCGGGGACGAAGAGATTGTCGTCATAATTCTTCTCTCGGCCAATGAAATCAGTCAGAGGAAACGTGCCTTTAGGTGTCCGCACCATTCGCCTGGTAATCCCATCTTTCACGCACAGGAAACTCATTTTAAATACACACATTTGTGCAAAACAAAGCTTCTCTCCAATAGCATGCATGCCCAAATGACGTAAAATGCCACGAATCTGCTTAATGCGTTTGAAATTACCACTGTGTGATCCCGGTATGAACCACAGACAACCGTTCTCGAGCGTAGCGTCTTCCAGAGCGATCCACATGCCAATCACCCTTCCCAGAGGCTGCGTGTAAAGGAAGGTGGCGTCCTGGTGAGGTGTCACTGAAGTCAAGGGTCAAAGGTCAAAAGAGTGTTTTTGTATTGCTTTCTCATTGGTTAAAGATGTAGGCGGGTCTTACCTTCTCCACCAATCCCTGGTTGCTGTTTACAGAACAGACACAGAAGAGGCGAGTAATGAAAATATTACCCTTACAATGAATGTAAACATAATTTATAAGCCAGCATATATCAACTCTACCTTAAAGATGTACATACTCTGCAGAATAACTGGATTTATCAAGCCGAGTTTCTTACTCAGGTTCTGCAGATAAGAAGCAAACACACACACACACACACACACACACACACACACACATTATGACTGAAGTGTCTGAAAATTGGCATAATGAAAGGAGTGAAGTATATTTGGCATGATTATGGTTTTTTTTTTTTGGTTAAACAGTGGATTACAGAAACAGTCTGGGTCAATGTTATTTCAGTATTATTTATATACTTTTATAGTATTTATTAATACTTTAAAAGAGTTTTTGAGCCCTAAAGTGTCTCATAAATCTTCCAATTAAAACAAATGAGCTTTTATATGAAGACCACAATTTACATGGTCACAGATACATTACAGTTTGGTCATTACTTGAACTTTTGGTGAGTGGGTGACTGCTTTAAACAGCGGCTCATAAGCATGGAGAGCTGTAGGAAGGATAAAACACAAATACATTAGGGGCAAAATAATTTTATTTCATCGTTTAAATATGGCCTGTAATTTTCTTAAATACCCACCATGTCCGATTTTATTCAAGGAATGTTCTCTTGGCACAATGAACTCTCCTGAAAACACAACAGTTTCATTGTGGGATGAATTTCCTGGGAGTTTTTATTTACATCTCAGCACAACAAACCTTTATCATCAAACACGCCTTTCTCAAAGAAGAAACGGATCTTGTCTCCACTTGTGATGAAATAGTCTGCATTTCCCTGGACAAACACAAAATATGACAAGATATGAATGATTTGACCGCTTCTAAATGTACATGGGACTTTTTTCTAGCATGGTTGGTACTGTAGTATGACAGCATTTTTAACTAATACAGGCAACTACATTTACCTGGAGTCAGTGGTCTTACCTGCATCTTTACCCAGGAATATTTGGTTGCATGTGGAAAGTAATGCGTAGAAGAACGTTGATAATGACACTACTGTAAATGCATAATGATGATGAGGCAATGATGATGACGCTGTTTACCTGTGTTTTCAGCTGCTCGTCGTGGTCAGTGGAGAACTGTATCCTGCAGTGTTCAGGAACGTCCATCCGGTCAATAATCTCACTCATTCGTACCCGTAAAGCATCACATTCCTCTGGGGACAGAAGCCCGTCCAGCACCAGATAGCCCTCATCCTGGTACTATAGAGTGAAAACAGTACAGAAACATATTCAGTCTACATATGCAAATTATATATACCCAATTTGGACAAAAACATAATTTGTTCTTCCTGATATCACAAAAAAAGTAGCAAAACGTTTTTGTACATGGAGCTTACTATGGTAATGTATGGTATTCTTTAGTACCATGTAAATACAATGGAATATTAGCCGATTCATTTTGTATCATGGTATTATATTTCAAAATACCGTGGTATTACCATTCTTGTACTAGCTAATAACAACTCAAAAGTGGACTTGGGGATCAAATACTGTTGATTTTCCTTCACTTTTCCTTTTTTATTCTTACTTTTAAATGTGTTTAGGTATATGTCATTGCGAATATGCAGATCCACCAACTTGAAAATGTATGCATTGGGTTGAATACAGACGACGATTAAAAAAATGGTTAGTACCTACTCCATCGAGGCACTTCAAATCTCAGGACACTAATAAGTGAAACCGTTTAAATAGGTTAATTCCAATTATGCCTGACACGCAAATAGAAATCTGTCTTATCGATCTTTACAACTATGACTGTGATTGATTGGGGTCACCGTGATTTTGCCAAGTAAGACATGGTCCTGGATCAACATATTTTGTTGATCATGGATCAACATATTTTGTTGATCATGGATCAACATTCCTTGGCCAAAATGTAGTCCTTACCCAATCCCTACCCCTAAACCTAACCCTACCCATAACTTTTCACTAAAATCAGAGGGTAATGATAGGTGAATAACACTGATGTTTAAGTACTTCACCCTGGTTCTAAGCCTAAACTTGACATAAACTGTAAACTTGTCCCTCAAATCTGATTGGTTGATTGGAAAGTTGTTCCAGGATCAACAAAGATGTTGATCCAGGAACACGTGGTACTTGGTGAAATCACGTTCACCGATTGATTGATTGGTCTGTCTTCAACAGCAATGAGAAAAGTAACAGATGTCACATGACACATACGTCTCTACGCTCAGGGCAATAATTACAAATAAACTGTATACTGTACTACTAATACTAATACGCAGGCAGGCAGCCGTTAAACAAAACCATACTGAAGAGTTAAATGTGTAAATAATCACTTAAGGCTCCGCCCATTTCGCGCTCCTCTTTCCATGGCACTTTCCTGTCTCACAGCTAGTCCTGTTTTTTTAGCGAATTACGCAACAGATCCACGTGAATTATCCATTACAGATTTGTATTTATTTTGTGCTCTTTTTTTGCACGCATGCACGAGGCGATGACCTATGAAAACTTTAAATATAAAGATGCAAAACATTGTCATCTAATAGCAAGTAAAGTCTTAAGACTCGTAAAAGTGCGTTTCTGATTAACATACACATAACAAGGACAAAACAATAGGACAATATGTGGCGTATTTAAGAGTTGTTATAGCCATTTAGAGGGAATGTATTACCTTTTGCACGTCTTGTTGTGTCAAAACATCCATGCTGAGAAAGACTGAAGTCTGAGAAGAGGGCTAAAAAGGCTGTCTAATCCAAATCTCTCCCTCTCTCCCTCTCCTCTCTCTCTCTCTCTCTCTCTCTCTCTCTCTCTCTCTCTCTCTCTCTCTCTAAGCAACCACGTGGTTGCACCATGTCAAATACATTAAACTGTAACCATGGTGATGCAATAATTGGATTTTGAACAGTAACTCTTTCCCTGCACTGCAAGAAAGTCAAATGTGCATGAATAACTTGAGTCACATTAGGGTTCAAGTGAACCTAAAAGGTAAACATTTGCCTCCAAATTCCAGGTAAAGGGTGAACACAACAGGTCATATTCTGTCCTGTGGAGGATGGAAATCAATTTGTTTGGCAGATCATTATGTGAACGATTACATGAATTGGACACCGTGTTGAAGAAGACTTCACAAAGAGAAACAAGCTTTGTCTGTTTAGTCAGTTTTTCAATTCACTTTCATAAAAGTTAACCCTTTATCATCTGTATGATGCCAGTCATTAATTATGTTGACTAATGTTAGTTTTTCACCCTTCAAGTGAATGGTATGACAGATTTAGTAATTTTCAGTACATTGTAAGATACATTTAATGAACTAATACTATGCAAACTCCATTTCTGAAATACATTATTTTCTTTGCATGTTTTCAGCTGGTATTTAAAGGAATAGTTCAACACACACAAAAAAATGTATTCTGTCATTTACTTTCACCTGAACAACTTTCTTTATTCTGTGGTTGTATCTGGGAAAATAATTGCAATTACTTAGTAACATAAGTGGACTCTTTGCCATTGCAAACCAAATTTCTCACATTTTATAAAACTAAAAACCAAAAGCACTGAACATGTTATGTTTTAAAAGCACTTAAACGTGTGTAACTTTTTCTCTGGCAGTTAATGTTGTTAATAATGTACATCTTTTTCTTGTTGCATTTAATAAAAAAAAGTTTAAAAAACTTTTTTGGGGGAGAAAAACAATGGTATGTGGGAAAAGAACGCCCGGCCACATTAAAAAAACATCATCTCTTAAAGGTCACACATGTTTGTAATAACATTAGGGTGAGTAAATGATAAAGATGTTTAATTTTTTGAGTAAACGGTCCCTTTAAATCCTTGCATGTTTTGATTTAAAGTGATATTCACCTCAATTATAAAATCTATTCACTATACTTTGATGAAAGTTCATACAGCTCTTTTCAATACAACAACCACTTAAAAGGGATCCCAAAATAAATGAATAAATAATTAAAATTCCAGTAAATTAACCGTCATTAATTATTGATAATATTTCCATCTAGTACTTTTTTCCATCTACTACTTTTTTTTTTGAATAACTACAATATTTTAGACTGAGAGAGAATAAAGTAGTGGTAGGGTCTTCATTTATATTTAGAAAGTCGTAATTTTGCGGTGGTTTTTGTATGTGCATTTTACCTCTTCAACTGCAGGGGGCGCCAGCATCACACAGACTGTCAACACACGGTTCTCCTTAAAGGGACAGTTCGCCCAAAAATGACAATTCTGTCATAATTTACTCACCCTCAAGTTGTTCCAAACCTGTATGAGTTTCTTTCGTCTGCTGAACACAAAAGAAGATATTTTGAAGAATATGTGTAACCAAACCATTGATGGGCTCCACTGACTTCCATAGTTTCCCTTTAACTTCTCAGCTCTCTAGTTTTTGAAGAGTCTGCTTAACCACTGAGGAAGGATGTGGAGGAAGCGAAAGCTTGGATAGAGATGATAACCTAGCAGTTTTTAGGCGTTAGCGCCAATTAACAGAAACACCAGTTTAAATCTCAAATCAGATGGGGAAAAAAGTAGACAGCTGCTCATATCCGACGAAAACTAAATTCTAGCAGAGATTTGATCGAGATAGACAGAATGCTTTCCACTTCATGGGATATCTGTTCTCCATTAACACCTTCTAGTCATTGCAAGTTTGTGACGGCTGTGCAATATTGACTTACAGTTCGTTTCAGTCAGCATTTAAGGAAGTGTCAAGTGCATACAAACCTAAGAAAGTTTATGTTTTGATTGAACTGGCTGCCATTTGGACGGTCAGCTGACTTCACTGACAGAAAGAGAGAGACGTGGATGAATGGGAGCTTTCATGTGGCGACTTTACTCACCTCTACCACTCACAGAAACAGAGAGCCTGTGTTCAGTGTGTGTGTGTGTTGAGGGGTGAGGCATTAAAGAATGTATGCGTGTAGGTGTGGCTCATTCTCAGGCAACAATGCCACGTGTGGCCATGACTTCACATGCTAAAAGGATCTTAAAGGAATAATTCACTCAAAAATGAAAACGATCCCATAATTTACTCACCCTCAAGCCATCCTAGGTGTATATGGCTTTCTTCTTTCAGCCGAACACAATCGTAGATAATATCCTGGCACTTCCCAGCTTTGTAATGGCATTGAATAGTGCCAGAGTTTTTGAAGCTCCAAACGCGTATTTTGTAAGACAAATATATCCATATTTAAAACTTTATTAATTATAAATCACTGGCTTCTAGCAACAGCCGTACGCAGAATAAACTCGCAAATTTGACTTTTTTTTCCTTGCAATTCCTAGTTTAGATGTAGTCCCAAGTCCTTGACACTCATTTAGAAATGCAAGATATAAATTCTGTAATTGCAGAAAAAGCCTGAATTTTATCTTTTTCATCAGAATCCCGAGATATAAACTCACGTCCAAGAAAAAAGTCAGAATTGTGAGGTAAAAAGTTTCACTTACCTTTTTTATCATTTTAATTTTATTCCGCTGGGGAAACAAGCTTCCATAAATGTGACATTTCATGTGTAATGCAATATAAATTGTATAAAACTTTTGTTTTTCATCAGAATATCAGCAAATTTGCATGGAAACAATAATCATTACATTTAAGTTAAGCATATTTATAAATCTATTTTAAAACATGCTTTCACATTCTGTATTCTTGATTCGCTGAGAAAATAAAACCACAATTAAATTTGTCTGATGTCATATTTAAATGGATGATCATTTTCTGACCACATGATTTAGAAAGCAGTTTCTCTGACCTCACATCAGTGTTTTATTAGGTTTACTTTTATACTAGCATTATCTTCTAAGCCAATAAACTCTGAATATATATACACACACACACACAAACTTCTGTTATATGCAATTAATCGATTTGACAGCACTAAAAATAATATAATTTCAATTATAATCTGATTTATTATAGTACACAATTCAACTATACTAACTATTATTATCTATACAAATTGAATTCAAAACTTTCTGTGAAATGTAGCGCTTTAGGGTTAGTAACTTATAATGTAGGTCTTAGTAACAAACTATTGTTGTTGTTGTTTTGTTTTCAAAAAGACACCGACGGCACAATTTCCTGAGAATGACCCGTGTGTGTGTGTGTGACTTAAGAAACATATGAAAACACATTTGAATGTATATCAGAAATTTTTACTTGGTTTTGTTTAACGCCATACTGTGTACATTAGGCAATCTTCCCAACAAAAGAAAAGTTCAAATAAAAATCATAAAATAAAATCATATGAACATGTACATATAAAAACAATTCATTAACGCATAGGATTTTTGTACTTGCAAACATGTGAACAATTTGCACGAGTCTTTCTGTTCTGTTTCTTTTTGTTCTTTCTCTTATATTTTTTTGTAAAATTATAAAACTTACAAACGTAAAATGTACACTTTTTCTTTGAGATGACCTCCAGCATTCAGCTCAGAGAGTTAAGGCCATGATAGTGTGGGAACGTTGCTACAACAACAGTCATTATGACGTCATCATTCCCTTCGAGTCAACGTGCATCTCGCCTGATCCAAACTCGAGTCAGTCCAAGATCATTTTGATCATCAGAGCATTTGAGTTCGCAGTTTCTATATCTTTGCGTAGTCTGTGGAGTGTAAGATTTTAGCAAGACTTTTTTTTAAAGAGTTTGTGGCATCATATTCATCTTTAAAAGTCTTTAAAAGCATATATACAGTTGTAATCAAAATTATTCAACCCCCATTGCAAATCAGGTTTATTGGCATACTTTACAGACTTTTAGCTGTGTGCAATGAGCAAATCAAACAAAACACAACAAATGTTTTAAGTGGTTTCCCCAAATTCAACTGAAAATGCAACTTTTAATATCTTCTGCTATTACTTTTGCTTGATTTGTTCATTGCAAAAAGCTGAAAGTCTGTCGATTTTGCCAACAAACCTGATTAGCAATGGAGGATGACATTTTTTAATTACAACTGTATGTAGTAAATTTTGTATATGACCTTTTTGGCATTTATTTCTGTGGGTATTAGCTTGCAGAGGTTTAAAATGTACAATTACATATTTGATAACTCAGCTGGCACATTCATAAACAGTCGACCCTTCCCTGATTGGATGCAGCCGCTAAGTAAATAATGCACAAACCACATATTGCTTGTTATATCTATGCATTCCCATAAAGCCACTGCTTTAACAGGCACTCGCACCCACATGTTCACCATGTTGGTGTTGTTGTCATCTATATGCATGCCCCTCCGTGCCTGTAGGGGGCAGCACATGAATGACTTGACCTCGCAAAACGTGTGTTTGTGTATGAGTGGATCAGTGTGTATGTGTTTCTAAGGACAGATGGCACCCTGTCCACAACTTCCCTTCATACGGACGAGAAACAAATGCTTGTTCGCCCAAATAAAATGAATTAAAAATCATTAAAAGAATGAAAGGAAAGCAGAAAGACCACATTAAGAGTTTCTTCTCTTTCATCCGTCTCACTCAGGCTTGTTCTTTATCGGCTCTCCACAGCTGCTCCTTGACCTCCGGTGGTAACGTGTTGAAGAGATCCTCCTCCACGATCAGCCCGGAGCGCTTGAGGAGTCGACATTCGGAGAGCTCCACCGGTAATCCCTCCAGCCGGTTCCCGCGGAGCTCCAGCTGCGTCAGGCCGGTTAACTCTCCGAAACGCGACGGCAACACCGTAAGGCAGTTATTTCCTAGATTCAGCGTCCGCAGCTTCTTACACTGGAACAACTCGGGCGGCAACGTCTCGATCTGAATC